AAAAGTTAACAATAATCCTGACGAAGATGATGGATTCAAACTGGACTGATGATGTAAGAGACATCTGTCCGTGCAGTCAGGGAGAAGACCTACATTATTTTTGGTCACAGATGCGGAAGGAGTACGATGACGCAGACCTCGGCCTCCTCTCTGAAAATATCAAATAAACAGGCTGCACTTGTGTAACTCATCTCCATAATTACCCCCTTCAGAGGAGGCGGTATTTAAACACCTGCTCCCATGGTCCTACACCAACCTCAGGTTCCGGGGTTCCAGTCAGGATGAAGACAGAGAACTCAGTCCCTGTGGTTCCGTTCTCCGGGAGGAAGCAGAGTCTGATCGAAGATGCTCGCCGAGAGCGCAGCAGCAACGCCGGGGGTGGAGGCCCCTCGGTGGGCTCCCCGGGGCCCTCCAAGAACGGAGACGGCTTTGTGTTTGAGGAGAAGCACGGCATGGTGACGCTCAACGTCCTGTTCACGCTGAGCAGCACGAAGAACGCTGGCTTCTTCAAAACAGGGAAAATTTTCGAGGTGAGTCACAAAAAATGAATAAAATGTAAAAAAAAAAAATCCATCCGTCCATCCATCCATCTGTCCGTCCATCCATCCGTCCATCCATCTGTCCATCTATCTGTCCGTCCATCCATCCATCACTGTCCACTTCAATCATGTCCTGGGTCTTCCACTAGGTCTCCTCCCTGTGGGACATGCCCCGAGCAGCGTCCGAGGAAAAACAAATACAGTAGACTAATAAACTATTGTTTTTATCATCCTATTTGTTATTATTGTAACGTTTTTAAAATCACTTTTCAATAACGATTTATAAAACAATAACAAAACAACTGAATATCATCATTATTGTGGTCTTGATTGTTATCATAATAATTAACATTAGAAATAGTAAAGCTTTTTTCTAGAAAAAAATATTAAGATAATGATGATTATTGTTAAGGTTGTTGGTTTTTATTTCTTCCCTACTTTGACTCTTTTTCCTTACCTACAGACATCGAATTTTTTTTTAATCTGTTCAAATATAATTGAACATCGTTCTGACCTTGTTATATTTTTAAAACAAAAAAATATCAATACCCTTAAAAATCTTGTTGTTGTCAAGTGCTAAAAATAAAAATGTGTTTCATTCTCTAAACAGACTTGAATAAATGTATATAATTGACCTTTGTCTGTTTGTGTTTTTCATCGGCAGACGTTTGAGGCCAAACTTCTCCACATTGAGAGTCGTCCAGGCAGGAAGTGGAAGAACAGCAGCGCGGACCTGGAGTTCTTCATGAGGTGTGAGGTTCACAGCTCAGACCTGGACGTTTTCATCAACGCTCTGAAGAGAGTGGCCGACGAGGTTCGCTCCATACCAGAGGAAAAGGGTGGGAACAAAGAAAAAAAACTCAGACAGTAATCCATGTTATCATTGTTGTTGATTCAGATTCTTTTTTTAATGATTTATTAGAATTAAAAACAATAACCCAGGCTAATGATGATGAGTCCCCCTTCCTCTCCCCCCACAGTCCCCTGGTTCCCTCGTCAGATCAAAGACCTGGACAGATGTAACCTGCTGACAACCC